AGTTATTTGGACATAACAAGGGGCGGTATGCATGGCGGAAGAAGAACACAGCATTCCAAGACAAACACTTGCTACCCACAGTTAAATTTGGTGGTGGTTCCATCATGCTGTGGGGCTGTGTGGCCAGTGCAGGTACTGGATATCTTGTTAAAGTTGAAGGTTGCATGGATTCCAGTCAGTATCAGCAAATTCTTGCGAACAATGTTCAAGAATCAGTGACAAAGTTGAAGTTGCGCTGGATACTTCAACAAGACAACGACCCTAAACACCGCTCAAATTCTACCAAAGCATTTATGCAGAGGAACAAGTACAACGTTCTGGAATGGCCATCTCAGTCCCCAGACCTGAATATCATTGAAAATCTGTGGTCTGTTTTAAAGCGAGCTGTCCATGCTTGGAAACCATCAAACCTGACTGAACTGGAGATGTTTTGTAAAGAAGAATGGTCAAAAATACCTTCAACCAGAATCCAGACCCTCATTGGAAGCTATTGGAAGCATTTAGAGGCTGTTATTTTTTTCAAAAGGAGGATCTACTAAATATTGATTTAATTTTTCTGTTGGGGTGCCCAAATTTATGCACCTGCCTACTTTTGTTTAAGTAATTATTGCACACTTTCTGTAAATCCTATGAACTTCATTTCACTTCTTGAATATCACTGTGTTTGTTTGCTATATGATATATTTAATTGAAATTGCTGTTCCGAACAACCAATGATCCATAATGGAAAATCTTGAAAATGATCAGGGGTGCCCAAACTTTTTCATACCACTGTATGTAAATATGATTATATGTATGTATATATGTGTATATGTATATGTGTATATATGTATGTATATGTGTATATGTATATATATGTGTGTATATATATATATATATATATTTACCACATCAATATAGAATACAGTTTGTATATATTGTTACCTGCCTGTCCACCTGTTTGTCTCTGTTTGTCACCATAAAATTTTAACATCAGCTTCTGAGTTTTCTTGTTTTGTTTTGTTTAGGAATTCTGTGTGGAGTCATCGTGAAACAATGCCATAGACGTTCCACACCACAGTGAGGAGGCTAATGAGGGGCGTGTCCTGCTCTCACACAATCACAGAGGGAGCATCACTGCTGTTACACTTAGCCATGGTACGGAGACATTCTCTTAGCCCCTGCCTTTCGTTTCTGACCTTTTTTACTTAAATTCTTATCATAGAATTTGTGGAGACCAAAAAAACAAAATCTTAATTCTTTCAGGTGGATGTTACACTGTCACCCAGTAACCCTATATTTATTCACAGGTCCTAATCTTCTAGGAACACCTCTTCCACTCCTCCTTCCTCTGGAGTCCCAATGGTTTCCTGAATACCTGTCCTGGGATGGTGGCGTTCTGTGGCTGCTGCCATGGAGGCGGACAGTTTCCTTAGCAGTTTTTTTAAGACACAACTTCCAGATGTTGTGCCAGATGCAGCTGGTCCACAAAAGCAGAGTTAGACAAGACCGGGCACAGAGGTGAGACATCCGGACCCCAGACTCAGTCACACAGGAGACATGTTAGGTTAATTTTAGAAGTTAAAGCTAATGTCATGATAAATATCTGTTTGACGAAAGGTCATTTTGTCTCTTTGTCCACCCAGGTGCTGTGCAGCTCAGCTTCTCCCACTGTGTTTGATGACACCACAGCAGAAAGAATAGGATTTCCCGCATCAGTGGAACCTCATTCTGCTGTCTGGAACTCGTGAGGATCTGACCTGACTTGTTACTCAAAGTTAGGCAAGGTTGAATTATCTCCAGTACAGCAAATATGCGACACATTCACGTGGAGTTGGCCCACAAAAAGTCTCCTTTAGAGCTTCCTGCCCACGAAGGGGACCTGCCTCCTCCTACGGCCCCACAAGAGGGCATAGACCATGGGGTCAGACCAGGGGCACCAAGGCACTTTGGCCAGGAGGAGCTGCACTACCAGAAGGTCTACCAGCTCTCCATTTACTCCCAGCTGGGGGAATTTTCTAACTCCACCGAATCCAACACTGACAACCAGCAGGGACCTGTCCGGGTTGGTGTGAAAAGGGCACTGGAAGAGCCCCAATTGACTCACAAACGCCCCAACCTGGGAGAGTCATCTGAGAGGGAGGCTCTAGAGGGAGGGATTCTATGTGGGCCAGCCCCAGCTCAAGGTGTTGCGATGGGTTCTGCAGGACCCCGTACTGTGTACTCTTGTGCACAGATGGAGCACAGAGACTCTGAGGCAGGGCTGTCACCCAGGTCTCCACCCCTATCGCCAAGTCACACCCCATCCCGACGTCCTACCCAGCACAATCACGATAAACTAATTCCTGATGTGTTTGCTCCGCTTTCACCCAAATCGTCTCCAATGTGTGACCCGCACGGCCACCTGTGTGACCAGGGCCATACAATCGGGGGCTCGGTTAGGATAGAATCAAGTAACGGGGGCCGCACTCCCACCTACTCTATCAGCAGTTCTGGACACGAGAGCTGCACTAATGGGTCATCAGGAGGGCCGCCCAGTCCCCACCTGTATGAAATGTCCACATATGAGACTCCCAACCCCGCCAGTCCCACTAGCCCCCCAGGCCCCTTCTCACCCCCACACCACACCGAGCTGCAGGAACCAGGGGAGGCCACTGAATGGGAAGTGGGACTTGAATCCTCGCCACCTGAACGCAGTGCCACCCAGGCTGCCTCGTTGTCCTCAAAGGGCCTGGCTTCCTGGGAGAAAACTCCCAGCAGTAACGGCCACCGTCTGTCGGCAGGAGGACACTGGCCGGCCAAAAAAAGGCTGCTGTCTCCCAGTGACACAGAAGAGTCGGAGGACGAGGGTCCATCTACGTCCAAGAAAAGCCGTCTGTCCCTGCTCACCCCGGGACTCGGCTCAGCCTCATGTTGTAGCACTGATGCCAAAGCTGCACCTTACTGGAACCACCTGCTGTCCTCCACGTGGGACCGGACCGAGGTTGGCACAGTGATACACAAACACACACACAGCAAATGGTTCCCTTTACGTTGAGTGACCAAAAATAGAATAGCAGGATGAGTACTGTGGTGAATACTGTGTCTGCCAATAGCTTATGTTTATATATTTGAATTACATTATTATAATTCATTATTCAGAGTTAGTGTAAATGTTCTTTTTTGGTAGTACAAATTTAAGGTACACAATTTTTTCAAAATAAGATTATTTTATCAGCCTAAGCCACACTGTACAAAGCATTACAATTGTCAAACATGGTTCTTCAAACATACCACTAGGGGGGTGCAAGTATATTTTGAGAAACTCTGAGTCATCTAAGTGATTCATTAAACTACACATTCAAGTGGTTTTGATTTTTTTTTTTAAATCAAGTGGCAGTACAAATTACCACTAATCGAGCAACCTTTTTTGTAGCTGATAAATGAATGCTAGTCCGTGCTGCTAATGATGCCATTATTGGACCTAGTTTTTTAAAGCGAGAGACAATATTCACACCACACTGGAACGGACCAGTCACTCTAGAAAGAAGTCCATTGAGGACAAGGTCAATTGTTCCACCAAGGTCTCATACACATGACAACACACAGTCACTCACATACACATGCTTTTTAGGTTCTAGAAGTCCTATGGTCAGAGGCCAGAGAAAAGTTTTGAACGTGAGTGTGTTTTTGTGTCTGTGCTAATGGTGGCATTTGGTTTCATTCATCCACTTTTTAGCCGTCATTCAGTCACTTGTGCTCATGTTGGTAATGTAAGTGTTCTGACAGGGAGACTTAGTCAAACTCTTAAGGCTGGTTTCCATCAAATGTAGACTGTTGTGTTTATTTTTTTAGTTGAGACAATGTCACGACCAACTGAGAAAAGGCGTTAATGCTACACAGATCCACAGCCCATGTGACCATGAGTGACCAGTTTATCAGCAGATGGGTAGTAAGTGTCGTAGGGTTGGCAAATGATGAGTCACCTCACAGGGGTGAACACTTCGATGTAAACAGAGTCATGGGAACGGGGAACGTTTGTGTTCGTGATACAAGGAACAGTAGTCAGAGTTCAGTAAGTAAGAGGTCACCACAAACGCCAAATCACAAAAAAACAAAATATATCAGGAATTGTTTTAGCTTTTTAGACTTATTTCCTGTCTCTTTAATAAAAATCCACTCTCTACTGTAAATAATGACTGTAACGTTCTCCCTCTTTAGAATGGCAGGGACTGCACAAGATCAGGAAGACGACTTAAAAGCGGACTTTGTTTGAAAAGGTGAGTGAGTTATCATGATGTGGTTATAAGTAGATATTAATAGTACTACTTAGTTACTTACTTAACAGTAAGTCTGGAAGACTAGTTGTGCTAGTAAAGTTCAAAGGAAGAATGAAATGTCACCAATTAAGGGTTCAAATTAGGATTGGGGTTACATCAGGAATCAGCTCTGAGCTCCTTTTTGTTCTGGTGAAGGGAAGCTACAGCTGTTATATACAGTGATTTTGCATGCAGTTATCTGGTCTACTGTAGGCAGGATACACTGTTTGTCTGAACCACACTGTTGTAGCTGACATTGGCTCTGGTGTCCGTACTAGACCTGTTGTACCTAATGTTAGCTCTGGGGTCTGTACCAGGACTGTTGTAGCTAACATTGACTGTGCTGTATGTACCAGGACTGTTGGAGCCAACATTAGCTCTGGTGTCTGAACCAGGACTGCAATAGCTAACATTAGTTCTAGTTTATCTCCCAGGACTGTTGTATCTAACATTAGCTCTGGTGTCTGTACTATGACTGCTGTAGCTAATGTTAGCTCTGGTTTCTGTACCATGACTGTTTTAGCTAACATTATCTCTGGTGTCTGTACCAGGTCTGTTTTAGCTAACATTAGCTCGGGTGTCTGAACCAGGACCGCTGTAGCTAACATTAGTTCTAGTCTATGTACCTAGACTGTTTTAGCTAACATTAGCTTTTGTGTCTGTACCAGGGTTGTAGTAGCTAACATTAGTTCAGGTGTATGTACCACAACTTTAGGTGCATTAGCACCACCTCCTGGGCTGGATGCTGCATATCAGTGTATGAAACCAATTGAAAGCTATGCTAGAAAACAGTATAATTTTAATGTGTTATTTTTCTTAAATTGATTTTGTAGAAATGAATATGTTCAAGACCCAGCCCTGAAAATATAAAACACATGTTCACTGGGTTTCATTTGTTAAAGCTACGATTAACTGTCGCTGTATGGACACATACTGTACGTAATGAGTCGATGAGCTGCAAAATAAACACAGGGGCCAAAGGTGGGAGTTAGCACAGGCTGCAGGTGAGTCCTTATTAAAGGGTTTTGGGTTCGGTCGTGAACAATCACGCTAACTCACGCAGGCGGACCAGAGGTGAGTTAGGACGACATTAGTGTAATCTCAGCCACTAAAGCTCTGCTCTGGTTCCAGTCGGCAGCTGCGCAGTGGAAGACACACAGACACCGGTCGCTCCACACGTTCCAGCTGGCCCTTGTCTTCAATCAGCAGATCTCTCCTCGGCAACTTTGAGGTACAATCTTTAACTACTATAATGAGTTACAGAAGGTGAATCAGGTGTCAGTGGGGCCAACGCACATGTCGTGTTTTTTTTTTTTATTAAACATTTGCAGGTGGAGATGGACAGAGATTCATCACTGGTATGGAAACACTTTGAAGAAATTACATCTATTGGATAGACGTTTAAAAAAAATTTAGCGAGAGTTGAAACAGTTGCTGCATCATTTGACTATTTCCTGTGTGGTGAAGTTCCACATCCTGTAATAATTTTCTTATCTTGTTTTTGGTTCTTACTTGTATGAAGCTGCTAAAAGATCATGCAAAAAGCATAAAAAATGAGTACTGTATTTTTTGGACTATAAGTCGCTTTTTTTTTCATCGTTTGGCTGGGTTTGCGTCTTATATATTAAAATATGTAATTTCACGTTTGTTATTTCCACACTGACAGCCGCTAGAGGGCACTCTAGACTTGTGTAACAGTATCTGCTACTCCTGTACGACTGAAAATTTACATGATCATTATTTTCACACTGACAGCCACTAGAGGCCACTCTAGTCGGCTGGTGCGACTCATACTCTGGAGCAACTGATATATGTTTTTTTTTCTTCTTCATTGTGCATTTTTTGGCTGGTACGACCTGTACTCTGGAGTGACTTATAGTCCTGAAAATACGGTACCCTTAAAAGTGTCCTGTATGCTTCGACCTCTCTGACTGTTGGAACAGCAGTTCATTTTACCCTTCTTCAAATCAAAAGCTTATATAAGTCTTGTGAGTCACTCGTTATTGTTGTTGAGCAGAACCTCTCTGTACTTCCAGCCTTCAGTCAGCCCTGAATGTTGATGCATTTGGTCCAGATCACAGAATTGCACCAGTTCATTTCTAAACTTTTTCTCTTCTTCTTTTCCCTGTGTGGTCCATGTCAGGAGTCCATTCTCAAGGGACGGTTCTCGCCCTCCGGCAGGATCGAAGGCTTCACGGCAGAGATCGGCGCCAGCGGCTCGTACTGCCCTCAACACGTCACTCTGCCAGTGCAGGTTACTTACTACGACATCTCGGAGCACAGCGTTCCCTCTCCCTTTCTGGTCAGTTCACACGTGCGTGTGTGTGTGTGTGCGTGCGTGCGTCTGTGCCTGTGTTGCAGTGCCGCCTCAGACCAGATGTCGAGAACATCTGGTGTTTTTTTTTTTCTTTTTCTTGCGTACGTCACGTATCATCATGACTCATTTTGTTTTGCATCTGTTCACAGATGCATTTTTTCCCACCATTTTATCCTGCTTGTTTGTACGAGAAATTGTACAATCAGCATTAACCACATGATAAATTAGGTTTAAAATATATATATATATATATATTAAATCCCACTTCACTGTCTCTCGTCTTCACAGGGAGTGGTTTCTCTTGAGCATCTTGGAAAGAAAGGATACAGCATACCTAAAGTAGGGACCATTCAAGTGGTGAGTCCAAAGTCAAGGGCGGTTATGCGGTAGTTCCCAAAATGGGGCGTGCAGAGCTATTTCTGTGTCGCAGCAGCAGGTCAAATTTTAAAAAAAAATTAGTAGGAAAAAATACTGATCTGACATTTGATCGACTTGTTGGTAGATTTTCTATCTTAGTAATTACAGTGTCTTAAATAATGTAGAGGTTGGAAGCAATAGCTGTGAATGTGTCGATGGGGGTTGGGGGTCTTGACACTAGTCATATCTACAAAAGTTTGGACACTTGTATATCCTATGGTCCTGCTGATGAGCAGAGCTAAAGGTCAAGGTCAAATCTGTGACACGTCTCATCCCTCTCCTCAGACCTTATTTAATCCCAACAAAACTGTGGTGAAGATGTTCCTGGTGACCTACAACTTTAGCGACATGCCCGTCAATCACATGACCTTTCTGCGTCACCGCATCTTCCTTTTGCCTGTGGAGGAGGGGGCTAAGGGGAAAGGAAAGGCACCTCCAGGGGGTGGAGACAGGAAGAAGATTCTCTGCTACCTGATACATCTCAGGTGAAGTTCACTCTGCAGTTCCTCGTTTGACCTCCACCAAGTGGGGGCGTGAATTTACCATCTGTGTTTTTTTGCCCTCCTCAGATTCCATAGCTCCAAATCTGGGAAGATTTACTTGCACAACAACATCCGGCTGCTATTCTCTCGCAAATCCATCGAAGTGGACACGGGGATCCCTTATGAGCTAAAATCTTTCACCGAGGTGCCAAAAAACCCCAAATACTCTCCACGGGTGTGACCCCAGCTTGACCTTTGGACTCCCACTGCCCCTCCTGTGCTTCCCAAAGAGGGAGGAGGGAATCAGGAAAGACTCCAAGCACTGGACACAGGACTGGATAAGACTGGATCAGACACATCACGCACTCACGAGACACACGTGCACATATCACACACTCAGTGTTTGGTGTTGGAAAAGTCCATGTCTTCGCTTCTACTCACCACTTTAGGATTAAGATGCATCATTTAAGAGGCATTCCATGCATTCTTCATTCATTGAAAATTAAAAAAAAAAAAACCCAAGACAAATATTTTTCAGTATGCATGCGATCAACAGCGGGACTTTTTCAACATTGTTCTTTGAATGGAATGAAGGAATGAACGCGCACACACACACACACACACACACCAAATCAACTACAGCGTTCACATTCACAGCAGAAGAACTTGTGGCGGCGACTCTCAGAGTTCAGTGTTAACATGCATGCCTTGTGGTTATAACACCATAGTTTTTCTGTAGTGCCCTATCACACTGTCCTTCACTCTGTCTGCAGCAACAACAGCAGGAGATATTGGAACAACACACACATAGGCCCCAAACCACAGGTTGAACAAACTCCCCTCACGCCACCATCTTCCATTTTTCACGCACTTTCGACCAGCAGAGATGAGTGGAGGGAAGGAATTGATTGGTTGCTCGCTATTTATTGAAAAAAAAAATAGCGACAGAGGGTCGTGGTCTCTGTGTTGAAGACTTCTGTTTTAAGATAGTGAAAAATAACATCCTTTACATCCAGGTTTTGATTTTAAACATCGATGGTGACATACAAACAACACAAAAATGCAGTACCGTCATAGACCACTAGAGGTCATGGATTCTATTGTGAAGACCTTTTATACGAATGAAAAAAACCCACTTATATCCAAGTTTTTATTTCAAACGGGTAACTTCAAAATAATCACAGCTCCCCGCAGTACCCCCACAGACCGTTAGAGGTCATAGACTCTATTGTCCATCCATCCATCCATTTTCATCCGCTTATCCGTTACCGGGTCGCGGGGGCAGCAGTCGCCACCCAAATCACATTGCACCGTACCAACCCCCCCAAACCTTCCTGCAGGTGGTGAGTCCACTGGAAGGTACCAACCGCCCTAACCGGGATTCGAACTTGCCCTGGGGTTCCACACCAATGACAGAGACATTGCCTCTGGGCCAAAGCACCACTGGACTCTATTGTGAAGACCTTTTATACGAATGAAAAAACCCCACTTATATCCAGGTTTGTATTTCAAACAAACTGTAGGTAACTTAAAAATAATCACTGCTCCCCGCAGTACCTCCACAAACCGCTAGAGGTCATGGATCCTCTGTTGAATAGGCTTACAGAGAAACCCAATCATTCACACATTCTCCTCGAACCATTTCACACCGTAACACAGACCACTGTGAATCAAATGTAGCCAGACTGAGGGACACTGTGCTTTTTTTTTGTTTTTAACAACTTTATTTTTATTCTGATGTCAGAGCAAAAAAAAAAAAGAAAATAGAAAATGACGAGCTGTAGTATTTTTTAATTTATGTTTATTTTGCAGATGTCTTAATAAGCAATATACTGCACAAAGTAGAGTGTGTTTTGTCAGTCAGACGAGCTTTCTCTCCAAGTTGGGGGGGAGCGCAGAGAAGGCAGAGTTATGAGAATGAAGGAGGAAATGGGAGGGGGGGTGACGAGGGTGGAGGTGGGGTTGGGGGGTAATTTAATACAGGGTTGGAAAGCTATGTATTTTAAAAATAAACTGTTGCAACTAGTGGGCAGACCATGTGTTTGTTGTTGTTTTTGTCACCATAGTTGCTGACGCTGCACTTTCCTTCGTATGGTCACTGGTACTGATCGATGGTCATCAATACATAGTATACTGTTCTCAAATACTGCAAGTATTCATGTTTTCGGTGGGGAGTGAACACTGGCGCGACTTGCTGCCGCTGCTCGCCCGTAACTTTTAGCTTTTAAGCTATCACTTTAAGTTTTTAGTTTAGGTTTTTTTAGCAGCTTATTGAGCCACAACTGTCACCGGTCCTGTGTCCATTTCGACCGAGTCCCCGCAAAGTTTGTCACCACAGTGTTAACTGGCAGGATGTACTTCGAGTCTGTTCTTCTCTGGACTTTGCTGTCATTTCCTTCACCAACCTGCGATGGGCCTGCTCCAATAGTCCGCTGCTGAGCTACTCCAGCTTCGTTCCAACCTGTCTGCACCCCTATCGGCTGCATCACCTCTCCTCCTGGACATTACTTTCCTGCCCCGCCGGAGATATATCCACGAAAACACCTCGAAAACAATAAAGTCCATCTGGTCCACCTCTCGTCGCCCCCCTCGAAACACTGGCCGGGTCGTTGACCACAGTGTGCTAGCCTACCTAGCCCGGTCGGCTAACACTCCTCCCAGATGTGACAACTCCGTCAACTTTCGTCTGCTCAACATCCGCTCACTCACGAGCAAAGGACATCTCATCCAGGATCTCCTCACTGACCGTAAGTTTGACTTTCTCTGTTTAACCGAGACATGGCAACAGCCCAAAGACTTCTCAACTAAACGAATCCACTCCTACGGGGTTTGTTTACATCTGTCAACCCCGCGAATCCGAGGTCTCGCGATAATTCACCGCGAGAAATGGAAAGTCTCGCCGGTGTCTGTTCCAACCTTCTGCTCCTTTGAATCCATCGTGTCAACTGTCTGGTCGTACTCCTACCATCATTACAACTGTCTACCGTCCCCCTAAACCCAATAACCAGTTTTTAAACGACTTTACTGCTCTGCTTACTTATTTGTCTACCCTCTCACCAAACAATATAGTACTGGGAGATTTCAACATCCACACGGATAATATTAATAACCCTCTTACCAAAGACTT